CTTTCGTTTCCAAAAAAAATGGTGACAGCGGGTTTGTGAACACAACAACAACAACTTGCATTTATACCCTCCTCCCCCCCCCTCCCCCATCCCGACCCCCAGCTCGGGTCCGAAACACTGACTACCCAACACCTTGGGACCTCCTCCCAACCTGAAAGATGCTTTACAAATGTAATTGTTGTTGTCGTTGTTGTTATATAGCGTCCCCCCCCCTCACGCAGGGTAGTGTCCCAGAGCGCTAGACAGTGGCGGATGAGGAAGGAGACGGGCGGGGGAGGGAATTGGTGGAGCCATTGCTGGTCTCGGTACGACGGCCGAAACATCTGCCTTATCATTGTGACAGAGCTTACACATTGCAGAGGCGTCGCTGTGAGCACTGACTCTTATTGCCGTCCCTTTGAATTCTCATGTGCTTTTATGAAAAATAATAGGTTTAATGTTGCGAGGCTCCATGTCCGAGGCCCCGAGCTGTTTGCTCTTAAGACGATGCACTTACTGCTCGAAAGACTCTAAAGATAGGAGAGAGAGAGAAAGGACATTAGTTGGAATCTGCACTCTGGCAAAGAGGCTAGTGCGTGAAAAGAGACCCAAGGTCTCCCAGCTCCGAGGAAGAAATCTCTCTCATTGAATTGGGGAGCCTCCTTCAGAGCTTGGCAGCGTCTGACAGTAATTCACTGTGACATCGGTAGATGATGAGCAATAATTCCCCTTTTCAGAACTGCCTGTTCTTCCCCTTCACTGACACATCAGTGCTGGATGTCATTGTATCATTTATCCAGGCTGGGGATGTGTCCCACTGCTGTGTCGCTTAGGCTGAGGTCAGGGCCATCAGCACCTCGCGGCAAAGTCCCCTGCTTTTCCAAAAAGTCCAGCTTGCGAGTGCTTACGGAAAGCCGGGAAAGCAAGGGATGTTTGCGGCGGAGCTCCCGACGCACGCTGTGTCAAGACAGACGCACTCTGCACCTCACCTGCCTCTAATCTCGCTCGATTGCAAAGGCGATCGCTCCCAGCGGGCAACTGAGCTGCAGAAACCAGGAGTCGCTCACTCACACGTCGCTCGCTCGCTCACTCACTCACTCGCTCACACGCACACGCACACAGTCACGCTCACACCTTCACGCAGACAAACTCGCACGCACGCACTCACTCACACGCACTTACTCGCACGCTTGGTTTAACGTCTCATCTGAAGGACGGCAGCTCAGTCAACGCAGGTCTCCAACAGCACTATATTGGACTGCGAGCTCACGATCTCACGGTCTTGACCGAGCTTGAACCCGCAATGCAGACACTCTCACCCTCTCATACACGTGCCTTGCTGTATGGCTCTGTTCCACACTGGCCAAGTCCTTATCATCAACCTGTCGGGGCGGGGCGAGGCAAGGGGCACGTTCCTTTATTAGGTGAGATGTCCGCCCCAGAGAGATGGCATGGGCCAAGTAACAAAGAGCGCCCCCTATTGCACGAGAACAACATTTCCATTTCCTCCCATCACCTAGCTTGAAGTGCAATTGAGTTACCTGCCCACTCCACTGTGGAGGTACATATGGTCACCCATTCTTGATAGAAAGTGTGTGGGAGGGGATGGGGAGGAGTTCTTACCTTGTTTGATTTATAATCCTCTAACCAGCCAGGAAGCGAGAGGAGACTTTGAGCAGTCAGCGACAGCTGGAATGGGCTAACAGGAAGGGTGGTTGAGGTCCGGGCGGTGTATTTGTTTAAGAAGAGCTGAATGCTGTGATGGGGGGAGAGGACAGGAGGGTGGGGGTATACTGGAAAGATGAGATCAAGTGGCCGAAGGTTCTTCTTCATCCCAACCATCTGATTCTTTCCTGTGATTTCCCATCAGTCAGGACTGGATTCAGTTGGCGAGTTCTCTCCCGCTCGTAGTGAAATGGTTGGTGACTCTCCAAGAACCCCACCCCCGCCACTCACACACACACACATGATTAGGAAATACAGGCACAGGTACACAAGGAGGTACTTGTGTAGAGTTTACCTGGAAAGTAGAGAAGTTGCTGAAGCAGTGAGTGTCAGAGCGGGTCAGCGAGTATCATCCCCAGCCTGGACCAACACCAAGTTGCTGCATTCACCTGTACCAAGAAAAGCCCACTCACAGCCCCTCACTCTCCCAACGCACACACACACACACACACACACACACACACCTCTGCGGGCTGTGAAACCTCTGCCAGCTGTGCAAACAGAGCTGCGCTGGGAAAAAAATTACGTTCGCCATTAAAACAGTGGATTATTTTTACGCGAGACCCCCAAAAAAAGTGATTTAAGTGTTAAATTATTTTCCCGGGAAGGGTTAAGATGACAGTAATTAAAGGTTACGACCCCCTATTACACAGAGGCCAACGTGGAGCTCTTTTCCCAGCATGGGGCTTGTCGCTTGGGGTCACTGGAGTTCACGTGGTGGGGGGAAGAGGAGGAGGAGGAGGAGGAGGGGGCAAAGTCGTGGTCGCATAGATAGAGGCTTGCGGGAATTTCGTCCAAGGTTCTGATGATATAAAGTCGTTCCTTGTGGATTTAATAAAACAATGAGATTGCAGAGCGCTGCTCAGCGGGAAAAGGTGAAACGTTTGCGTGGAGTTTCCGTGGGCAGACTGTCTTGTGGAGAGTTGGCATGTGATCTGAGCTGTGGATGGATGGGGGAACCTAGCCTCTGTGTGACTCGAAAACCCTTGCCAGATTCACTCAGATTTCAGATCCTACCATTCTCGTGATAGCGTCGCTGATAATTGAGACCAGTGTTCGCATGGTCTCTCGTTGGGCAAGTTTCCTTACTCCACACACAGGCCTCTGTTCGCCGAGCAGTAAGTAGGAACCCGGTTGTTAGTCGATTGTTAGACGATTGGCGGATCGCTTTTCCGGGGGTAATTCCTTCAAAATAAATTTAAAAAATAATTTGGTCACACTCTGTTTGTGGGACACTGCTGTGCGCAATTTGCAGTGTATCCTGTGACATCTCAAAGACATGATAAATTGCTCTATCAAATGCAAGGATTATTATTATTGTTGTTATTATATAAACAAGAACTTCACTCAAATCAGGGAGACCAGCTGTGGGCTCTGTGAATCTCCTCAACGCTTCCCTAAACTTTCCAACACACTCTTTGCCAGTCGGTCTCCCCAGATCCACCATCCGTAAGCCCCAGCTCATCCAAACCTCTGCCACCCCACACCAAACTCTGCACGTTCATCTCCCCAGTCCTCATCTCCCTCCACTGGCTCGCTGGCTCCATCCAGATCAACTTTGAGGTCTTCACCCTCGCCTGTAAAACCCTTCACGCTCCCACCACCTCCCTCCCCATCTCAGTCATAAAAACAGAAGTCTCTGGGAACATGCAGCAGGTCAGGCAGCATCTATGGAGAGAGGAAAGTGAGTTAACGTTTCAGGTCAATGAGCTTTCGCCAGGAGATGGGATGGGAGGGAACACTGTTCGGGATTGGAAAATGGGACAGGGGCTGATCAGAGAGCTGGCACGTAAGCACTATGGGTCGAATGGCCTCTTTCTGTGCTGTAAAATTCTGGGATTCTATTCTTTCATTGCCCAATGTCAGTATCAAGCACTTACAAGACAGCTGATAGTTTGGGTTGGATGCAGGGTAAAGCTCCCTCCACTGACTCCAGCACTGGGGTCTGTAGGCAGCAGAGTCTACGTGTGCAGCCTGTACTATTTTAATAACGTGAGAAATTCCACTGTAGATTTTTGTTGTGTAAAAACAAAACCTTCTCACCGTGAACCCCTTAACCGGACCCAGCTAATGGTCTGTGTATTTCCCAGCGTATCGTCACTCTGTCAGATCTGTGCCTTTGCGCACAATTAAGAGTCCGTTTCATTTTGCTTCACGGTATTTGCGCAAACCTTTGCCAAATTCTTTTGGAGGCCAAAACACGTCGTTTGGAAAGAATTTACAATGGGTTGGCTCTGTATGTCCCTTTAAGAGTAAAACTCTTTTTTTCAGTATTATTCATAAGTTTGTAACTGCTCGAGGCACATTGCCAGGTACAAATCCAGCCATCCTGCCCCCGCTCTCTGGAACTCTGTAGAGAAGGAATCAATAGAGATGTTTTGGAGTCCTGTAGCTTAGTGGTTAGAGCACTCGTCTCGCAAGCGAGAAGGCCTAGGTTCGATTCCCAGGCAGGGCCAAACATTGGGCAGGTTTCCTTTCTCCACGCGCCTCTGTTTACCCAGCGGTAAGTGGGAACCCGGTTGTTATTCGATTGGCAGAACGCTTTCTCGGGGGTTATAATCCCTTCAAAAAAATAATAATTTGGTCACTCGATCCACGATTGTTTGTGGGGACGCTGCTGGGCACAATTGGCTGCCGCGTTTCGCCCACAAAATATACAGTCAATTCATTCTACAGTATATTGTGTGAAGCACTTTGAGACGTCGCGAAGATGTGATAAGGCGCTTTATCAAATGCAAGGATTATTATTATTAGAAGGGACATAGACAGAAACTGGGGGAGTAGTGGGATTGAGTAATAATCTATAAACTGGTGGAACAGACTCAATGGGCTGAATGGCCTCCTATGTTCCTGTGGCTGAAGATGCTGCTAACTAACCAGCCCTTTATATACCATTCAGTCACTTTACTCTTTAGCCCTCGTGCTTCCCAGTACTTCTAACCCAAAGTGCGTGAACCTCAGAACCAGGAGAGCGCCCCCTACTGCAGCAGGGCAGCATTGCTGTTGTCTGGCACCTGGGGTGAGAGCAGTCCTGGATAACCTGCTTCTCCAAGTGTGGGACTTGCAGCAGTGTGGGCTGATCCCATGGTAAGTGCACAGATCGGGTTCAAACCCAGGCCTCAAGTGAAAAGAGAAGGATTTAATGTAGGTTACAGTCACCAGTGGACACCGCAACAGTCTCCGGTGCAGGGCCGGGCTGTACAATAAATATAATCCTTGCATTTAAAATAGCAATAATAATCTCTGCATTGTGTTCTGCGGCTAACGCCACAGTGGCCTGTGTGTTTGTCTTGCAGAGCTCCAGAGGGAGGGCAGCATTGAGACCCTGAGCAACAGCTCGGGCTCCACCAGCGGGAGCATTCCCCGAAACTTCGAGGGCTATCGCTCCCCACTGCCCACCAACGAGAACCAGCCTCTCAGCCTCTTCCCAACCAGTTTCAACTGAACCTCATCCGACGTCGCAACGTCCCTCTTCGGCAAAACCTGGACACGGGGCTGGGACTCCGGCTCGGGCCACGTTAGCACCAAATTGACCTGAGCCGAAGAGGGAGCGGAGCGGAGCGTGGCAGCGACACTGACACAATTAGCCAGTCGCACGCAGGCCCCCATCGCGCTCTCGCTCCGCTCCTCACTGAAGGGTCAACGACGTCCGCGGTGGTCGGCGTTAACCCTTCAAGTCCCGGTTTGTGCTGACTTGTACAACAAGCTACCTGTCACCCGCAGGTTTCGCTAATTCTCCAATAGGCCAGAGTTTGCTCGTCTGTCACAGTCCGTCCGTGAATTTCGACGTGCCCGACGACTGATGGCGGCAGGTGTGAGCGCTCAGTCAGCTCCTGTCCCGAATATTTCCGTTGATTTCCTTTTTGTTGTTGTTAACAGTTTCAAGGATCTTGCCAAATGGTAGACTCTTTTATTGCTGGGCTAAGAGTTTGGTTCTGTTTTCGCACGGCTAGTAATGTTACAGTGATGATGCTCAGAACGGCGGCTCTTAGTGCTCTTTAAGAGGTGAAGTGGAATGGGTCTGCAGTCACTGCACGCACCTAAACACACGCACGCACACGCAGCACATCACCCTTAGAGCTGCCACGTGGCCGTTTGGTTTTGTGACTCTGCGAGGGGTTAACACGGCTGGCCTGCATGTGTGATTATTGCGGTGTTTCCATGACTTTTCTGAACGACTTGGATTCAAGAATCATCTTCTTCAAGCTGTTAGGACTGATAAACGGGGAGTGAGCGAGCGATGCGAGCGAGAGAACAGCGGGGAGGAGCCGGTGTGTGAGGAGCTCTCTGATCGCAGACCCTGCGAAGCTGCTACTCTGCACAGACGACACTGATCAGAGCACGTACCTCGCGGTTATACACCTCGCACACAACGCATGCACATACACCCCATATCCACACATATAAATACACCCGCCCCCGTGCCCCCCGTCCCGTCCCGCGTACAGGCATATAATCTGGGGAACAGTTTGGGTGAAACTTGTTCTATTTGTTACTTGTAAACTCTTGACGACCGCCCCCCCACCCACCCCCAAGAAAAAAACTCTACATCTATCTCTCTCTCTCTGTCCCTATTTTTAACAGAGGAAAACATTCAGTCCTGAATGATGTCAGCAGAAATCTCCTTCGCACCCAGAAGCTCGGCCCCACTAACTGGCTTTAGTCTTTATACCTGGAGTGAAGCTATCAGGCTCGGTTACTCTGTGCCTGCTCTGGGAGGTGGGTGGGGGGGGGGTGTGGGTAGGGGATAGCAGCCTGCTCTCCGAGTGGCACTTTCCTATGTGTGATGACCTGTGGGATCCTTTTTTTGCTGCTAATGTTTCATTTACAACAATCCAAATAATTAAAAGGCACAGATTGTGAAGCTGAGGGTGGAGCTGTCTGTCTGAGTGCTGTGACACCCCCACACATAGTGATCCTATCTCCCAGGGTCTCACTGACACTCTTTAGCAAAGTCGTTCTTTCTCACTCTTTCTCTGTCCGCACTCCCCCCTCTCTCTCAGTTTCCATTCCTCGCACTCTGTCCAGTCTCTGTTTATTTTGTTCCCTCATACACTTGTGTTTCTCTCGCTCCCTCTCCCCCTGTCTTCCTCTGTCTCTCTCTCTTTCTCTTTCTGTTCGTCTTTCTTGATCTGTCTCCAGATTGAGGGGTCTCCTGTCCTCGCTGGGTCTCGCCAGGACTGAATATGGAGCAATTCACAACCTGGTTGCCAGCAGTCTCAGGCCCAAAGCACTAAACCATCCATAATTCAGCACATGTTGGAACTGATTGTCAGTCTCACTTAGAGAGGGACGAAGACAGCTGGTGTGGGAAATGGCAATGTTACCACTGTGCAGTCCAGTGAGGAGCTTTTCTGAGATTGGGGGTTAAGGTACCTCGTTGAGCCAGCTGGGCACGGCAGAGGCTGTGAAACCAATGGTTAAACACTTCGAGGAGCCACAAATCAGGTGATGGTGTAAGTGTTCGAGATGATGGACCGGGTGATGATGTGACGATAGGTGGTATATATACCAGCGACTTCAGAGCAGATTGAAATGTACCCGAACCCATTATAATTATAATAATAATAATAATTCTTACATTTGGTGTAGCATCAGGAGGAAGTCCCGAAGAGCTCCACAGGATACACCGTCATTCACAGGTAGTAGCTGTGTCGTGTGGGTGAACATGGCTGCCACTTGGCGCTCAGCAATATCTCACACACAAACAGCCGTAAAGTGAATAACCAATTTTATTGAGCGAATTGTTGGCCAGGACACAGGGAGAGAAACCCTTCTCTTTTCAAATGGAGCCACGGGCTCTTTAACATCCACCCGAACAGTTAGACGAGACCTTAGTTTAATGACGTCAGCAATGCAGCACACCCCCCAGTGTCAGCTTAGACGACATGAGTTCCAAGTCCTGAAGTGGGGCCTTCTGACTCAGAAACGAGGGTGCTATCAATTGAGTCAGGCTGACGCATTGTTAAAATAGGTGGTAAATTACGCAATTTTTTAATCTTTTATCTTTTTAATCTTTAGAAGCTGATGAAAGAAGGCAATAAAGTAATTAATAAAAACAACAAGAAAAACTGGCCGCTGCAGCTTAATTGTTCCAAAATGAAACGTCTGCAGACTGATTTTCCACCCCATCTCAGCCCGTAGATCACTGTGTCCTGATGATCATCTCACCAGTCCGGTTCATTGGAATTTTTCTTCCCTGATCCCAGGGGAAGTTCCGGTTGCTGTACGCAGCCCAGCTCCCAGGACAGATACGGGAAGGATTCACACTGCCCGTTCCCACAGCCCTGCGAGCTCAGCAAACAGCCTCTGAATAATCCATGCGACAGAGGAAAACAGGAGTGAGGGGGCAGGGATGAGCATAATATATACTGTACAGGGCTTCTTGTAATGAAGCTCTCTGTGACACAGTAATTCAGCACAGATTTACCCCCTGACCTCCACACAGGTGCTTTTTCTACAGTGTGAGGTGTGGATTGTGTGGAGTTATTGTTCACTGTTACAGAACAACACCTGCACTTTCATTTTGGAACAATCGAGCTGCAGCAGCCGGTTTTACTTCTTGTTTTTATTAATTACTTTATTGCGTTCTTTCATCGGCTTCTAAAGAATAAAATGATAGAAGATTAAAGTGTAACCTGGAGTAATAGATGTGTGTAAAAAAATAGAGTATAAAAAAACATTGTAGTAACCATGCAACTAAGATATATAAGAATAATAATCCTTGCATTTGATATAGCGCCTTATCACGTCTTCGAGACGTCTCAAAGCGCTTCACAGAATATACTGTAAATTGAATTGCCTGTACATTCTGCTGGGAGTCTAACCAGCTAAAACCACATAGCTTGCCATTGATAGCACTGTCTGGCAAGCTGTCCCGCTGCCTGTCCAGCTAGGACCACCCTACCCGTTAGGGCTTTGGCTTGCTGTTAATCCTAACAGAGCTAAATGGGAGGATTCCCTGCCCCCAGTGACTGGTTTGCCCTTCCAAGTCCTGCCGATGAGCCAGGCTGTCTGTGCTGTTATCAGCGGTGCCTTGGAGTACTGCAGACCCACCAGGCTCAGGAACTGGACTAAAGGCTACCCAGAGCGGTGGCTCGATTCCGACATTCTGTTGCCAAACATGTCACCTTGGAGCTAGTTCAACTCCTAAGGAGACCCTGCTTACCTCAACCCAAGTTGGCCAACAAAAGAACTTTTGCGTGATTGAATATTTCTTGATTTCTGCCATAAATCGAGAATTAGTCAAATCAAGAAAAAACTGAAAGCTCACTACTGATTGAACATAGACTCGTGTGGATGTTCAGGGGCCAATTCCGGCCCTCAGGCTATAGCTGGGCATCACTGGCCAAGCCAGTGAGCTCAAAGTCCCAGGGCATGGCTTCAATCCACAACCTTTTGACCCAGAAGAAAAAGTGCTGCTGACTGAGCCAGGCTGACACCAAGCTTCACATTGTATAATAATAATAATAATAATCAACAACACAATGTGTAAGATATATTGCATTGTTCAAACATATAAGATTATGTATACACTGCAGATTAGCGGAGCATTTGGACCTATGGAGGAAGTTGGGTGTAAACCAAGAGAATATTAAATAATTTGGGATTTTTCTACATGGGTAGGTGCCTGGGGGATGTTGTGCAACATGACTCTAGCCCAGAACACCGTGACGTTGATCTCTAATCTCTAATCTGTGCTGCTGTCTAGGGGTAGCATTGCCCCTCCTCACTGCCCAGTGCTGCTATCATGTGAGAAGAGCACCCAGGCCACTCTTATTACCCCCCTCCCCAAGCATTACGCCATCACCCAACCGGGAATGGGAATGGGAAAAATACTGGAGAATTAAGGCTTTGGCTTGCTGTTAACCCCAATGGTAACAGAGTGTGATTGGCTGGTGAGCAATGTGACTTCCCCTCACCACAGAGTCTTCTGTGGACGGGCTCCGCCATGCCAGGGGTTAAGAGGAGGTTTTGGGTGAATAGTGGGGAAGCAGCCCAGACTCACACCTGAATCCATTTACCTGATTATTCACCTTAATCGAGCACAGATGTTGCAACTCCACAGCTGGAACTGCTCCGTTCCACCAGCAATTAGTGAAGGGACCAGAGGCTGAGAACCATTGACTGTAACAATCAGAGCAGCACCAGTGATGTCCACCACCTCCCCTGCAGACTGGCCAGCCGCACCTCTTTGCCCTGCTCTAGCCTCCACTCTTCCCCTGGTCTGGCCTCTCCATAGAAGGCTTCACAGGTAAGCCTGAGCTCTTCCAACCCGGCTGCCACAGCAGGTTCTACTGAGTGACTGGGACAATTTTCTTCAGGTAGGCGTTAAAGATCCTGTGGCGCTATTTGAAAAGAAATGGGAGTTCCTCCTGGTGTCCTGGTCAGGAATCCCCCATCCCCCAATAAAATTGGTCACTCACTCCATGAGTGCTTGTGAGTCAGACACTGGGGGGGTTGGGAGGGGGATCCGGGAGGGTGGGGGGTGGAGGCATAGGCACAGTCAAAGAGAAAGGTCTTCAGGTGCAACCTGAAGATGGGAAAGGATTAAGGCAGAGAGGAAGAGTGGGCAAGGTGGAGGAAGAGAGTTCTGAAGTTTCAGGGCGTAGAGGCTGAAAGGATAGCCACTAATGGTGGAACGGAGGAGACGAGGGACAAGCAGAAAGTTGAGGCCAGCTGAGCGGAGGCAGCGCGTAGCAGAGTGGGTGTGAGTAGGTCATTCCCTTCATGGCTGTCTGTGGAACATTGCCATTTACAAATTGGCTGCTGCATTCACCGCAAATATGCAGTCACTCCACTTTACATTATATGCTCTAAAGTGCTTTGTGATGCCCTTCCGACATGAAAGGGGCTGTATTCAATGTAAGGATTATTATTCATTGTTTGCTCTGTGGTGCGTTGGAGCTGAGTCGTGGGTGGTTCCCATGTCCCAGATTTCCATTCACGATTTTTTCCTCTTTTATTTTGACGTTTGAGCCTTCCAGCGACTGATCCAGGCGGGGTACCACAGCGTTTCGGAACGAGATTAATTTGTTCCACAAAGGGTTAATGCCTTGCAATGTCACTGGGCTGCAGTGTTTGGTGCTGACAGACATGGTGTGCTTGAGCGGTTGTCAATGTCTTGCACAGACACTGATCGTGAAGCTTTCACTCTTAATAAATTTAGTTCGGAATTGGTGGAGATGCAACTGAAACATCCAGGTGCATCAAATCTACCAGTGGCCTGTGAATAGGAACTGCTGTGTCCATCTAATAAAGTTTATGATGTGTTTGAAAATGTTCAGAACAGCTTGCTTCTAGCCAGTGGGTTTTCATCTCAAGGTGATTTAACATTGTTTGGCACAGCTAAGGATTGGTAAATATTAAACCCATATTTTAAGTCTTTTCAGTTGCTTTGAGACCTGCACAATAGGACAAACCCTCACAGACACTGACATTTTTATTAACCGTGTCTACATCATTTCATCACAGACAGATAGAACAGAAGAGTCAGCCCCTCCATATCTGGGCATCTGTGATCACAATCTACCGAGCTTGATCAGAATAGGTAAAATGATCAAAGGCTTCACCTAATGTTAAGAGGAGCTTTGACAAAGCAATTAACTCTCAGCTGGAACAGGGTGTTTCTGCTCCAAAAATAACAGTTTGTAAATATCCGATTCCAGGAAGATTCTGAGTAAATTCATCTGTGCCCTTTGTTCGTTGATTCTTAATCTATAACGCTGGGTGATCGGAAAGGCACAGAATGAGAGGTGGGTTGTGGTGTTAGCTCCTCTCAACTTCGGAGGTATTTTGTGGCTGCAATTGGCCTGCATGTCCCTGGGATGCAGGGTGAAGAGTAAGCCAGGGTCCCAGATTGCTGCCCG